ATATATATATATATATATATATATATATATATATATATATGAAACACTTCTCAGTTCGTATAGGCAGCAGCCTTCATACTGAAGTAATTTTTTCCCAATAATAGACAAGCCTTGATGAGTCTTTATAGACGTGATTTTTCTCATTCGTTTATACTCATCAGATGGAATGGTTCAGAGTGTAGCGGATACTCGCATTTCGTCAGTAGAGGTTGACGTAGACCATGATGAGTTAAGAGGTAACTAAAGGGTATCGAACAGTTTTATTAACAACAAATTAGCATTGATAATAAGTAAGATGTAAAGTTTATGTACACNTTTCAAGTCTCTTCTGCATCGAACCCACCAACGTTGTTGTGAAGTCATTTTCTATTTTTTGCTCCATTACGTATCGCACTTTTGCCTCCAATGTGCAGGTAGGACATTAACATCTCTCATCAAAACAGAAAAATTTTCGATCACATTAAGATCTAGGCTATTAGGGGGAAGTTGCATGAACTGGACCTTAGAGTCATGCATCTTTTCTGAAGTCTGAAAGCAAATAATAAGTGAAACGGAATCCTTGACTAAATAAATGTACCAACCTCTCATGAAACATGACACGGAGCGTTATCCTGAAAAACGATCACATTCCCAGACCATTTTGACGGGAGATTTTGGAAAATGTTTTGTGATCACCGATGCAAATTTCCCACTATTCATGGTGCTTTTAACGGATGTCCACCGACAAGGCTGACCATGATTTATCCCTACCCAGATGAGTGATCTCCAAGGATGAGAAACTCTTTGATTTCGTGGGAAATTCTATCCACAAGTGTCTTTTTTGTGATCCTTTCAAGTCTCGTCGTACACCATGCAATCGTCTGCGAAATGAACCGATCGGCAAATTGACACACGTCGAGATTCGAATTCTCGGGCAAAATCAATACGAGCCTGCCTTTGCTGCACGCTCAATGCTGACATTACGTCAGCTGAAACCTGACGCATTTTAAATGTTTTCATTCTTGTTTTCAGGAGAGTATGAATGACAAGGAAGACCTTCCCGTTGGATAAACGGCAAAGATTTTATGCAATGTTTTCTCAAAGTAATACGAATCAGGTCGTCCTTTTTGAATGTACTCGGTTTACGGCCTCCACGAGCAGTTCTGGTTGTTGTTTTCCCATGAATTATCCTGTAAAATGTGCTTTTATTACCGTTGAAGCGGTTGGCAAGATTTGATATGGAATAGACGCAGGTTACCCGCCGGCATCCCATGCCTTTTGACCTTTCTGGGAGTTCTTTCGATTCTGAAATAGTTTTAAATGAATCATTAATGTTTTTATAGTTTTAAAAATAAATGGGTTGTTCTATTTTAATATAAACAGGCGATTTTTCCGACCGATGATTCAATTGACTTTGACCATGTCTGGGTCTGTTGTGTCCAACATGTACCGGATTTTACATGGATTTCAAGGAGAAGCATGTGTGGAATATATGCAGAATCGTGGATTGCTACCGAAACAACGAACTTGTCCATGCGGACGAATAATGAAGCTTCAAGAACTTGCCCGGAGCCGTGACTGGTTTGTTTTACGTTGTACAGCATGCAAACGGCGAGCATCACTTCAAGCGGGGGCTTTCTTCGAAAAGTTGCAATTGCCATTATATACTTTGATGGGCGGACGTGAACGATGTATGCCCCCCCCTTATTTCCACTCAAAGCCGCATTTGCTATCCTATGACGTTGAAAAGAACTATGTGAATTTTTTTTACTATAATACATGATAAGCAATAGGTTTCTGACTAATTATCAAAGAGATGATAATGGTCGTTTTTGTTTTAATGAATGACCTTGAAATGATGTCGGGCTTCCAGGAACAACAATCTATAGTGACGAATGGGCAGCCTATCGCTAACTCAGTTCGCTCGGTTATGTGCATTCAACTGTAAATCACTCTGTTGGATTTATTGACCCTACAAGCGGCGTGCATACAAACAATGTTGTGGCATTTTGGAGCCGTATACAAAATGATTGAAGAACGTGCACGGGTCCGTTGGTGAGATGATTTGGGATCATCTAGATGAGGTTCAATACAGATTATGGTTTAACTTTTCATACGAGACATTTCCGGACGATATATCTACATTCATGGACCATATAAAACAGATTTATCCTTTGTAATTTTTTTAAATTCTTTCTTAGTCACAATTGTATACCCTTTTTATTATTCTTATTGTAATTATTATTGCTTTTCATTATTTTCTATCAATATAAGGTGACTATCATTCCACGGTTTGAGTCTTTTTTTATATATACTACCTATTAGTAGCTTAGTTATTTTGGGTTAAATAGCTTAGGGGGGGGGGGGCACGCATCGTACACGTCCGCCCTTTGATGGAGCTGATAATTTATTTCGTTATGGAGGAGCCTGTTACCCGGACCGCGGTAATGGTCAACGTGTCCAAGAAAAGTGCAATACGGTGGTAAACGTACTGCCGAAATATTTGTTCGTCAAGTATGTGCTTTCGAAGTACCCAACTGGGAGGAGTGGGTAATGTGGTGGAGGTCGACGAAAGCGTCGCGGTGAGGAGCGAATATGGACGCGGTCGACCAATACCAACAGTGTGGATGTTCGGTATGTACGACTGCAAAGAGTGGAGAACCGCTATACGGAGACCTTATTACAGATTATCCAACGCTGGATTCAGCCGGGAAGTATCATATGCACGGACCAGTGGGCCGCCTATCGGTCATTGTGTTCCATGGGATATATACGTGTGTAAATCACAATGATGGCTTTGTGAATCCCGCTACCGGTGTTCGCACAAACAATGTTGAAGCGTTCTGGAGTCGGATCAAACGTCGCTTGAAGAATGTCACAGGATCTGTGGGAGATGTAATTTGGGAACGCAGAATGTGGTTTAGCCATTCCAACCGGTACTGATACTTATCTAGGACAAGTAAAGCAACTTTATTCTTGTTCATAACGATTTATTGTTGAGTAAATATTCTTTAGTAGATTATAAGCCTATTCCCTACTGTATGATTGTGTATCCTACTTGTGAGTAGTATATTTTTAATTGCATAAATTTCGCTCTTAGGGTGCCGTGGACTAACCTGAGCCATGGAAAATTCCAGCTGGTGCGTTTGAGCGAATCTATTTCTGTCCTCTTCACTGAGGTAAGGATATTACTTGTTCCAAGCTCTACTTGCTTCATTGTGGTGAGAGAGAGCCATACGAACATTCAAAGCTGTGCACAAAAATGACCTTGATTTCAAGGTTGATTTTGATTGAAGTTGTACTTCTCGAATTCATTGAGTTAAATATCACAAACAGAATAATATTATGAAACATTATCTAATGCTATTTCTCTGGATTGTGATGGAATTTCATTTGGTTATCCAATGGAGTTGCTATAATGAATTTTATATTAGATAAAGTAATGCTACATGACAAATAAACGAGATGGCAAAAGTTTGGAAATTATTTAGGATAATCCTACAGGCATTCCTATTAGAAAGTATCACATTGTCATACTTGATAAATTTTGTGGTTTTCATGCTAAGATCACTTAATCTTGGCACGTTTAATTGACACTCATGCAGCCTAAAAACTACGTAGCATGATGTAGACAG